GGCGTTTTGGGTGCTGATTAGTGCTATAATGTGCTTCAGGCACAACAGTAGCCCCAGTAGGTCGAGCTTTGATGATTCTTCATCAACAGCTGGTTCTGCTTTTCAGCAAGAAGTAAAACAGAGATCAAATCCGAGAACTTAGTGAACTTCTGAGCTCTATATTGTTGCTGCAGGACAATATTAGAAGCAGAGAAGGTCGAGTAGGTCTTCTCCAGGAGATCCTCTTCAGTCAAAGTTTCATTGCAAAACTTGAGAAGTGATCGGATTCGACAAACTTCAGAATTATATTCATTCACATACTTAAAGTCTTGGAAGCGCAAGTGCTGCCAGTCGTGTCTTGCTTCAGGCAAGAATATGTCCTTTTGGTGATCGAAACGATCAGCCAAAGCGACCCATAATGCACGTGGATCCTCCTCAGCAAGGTACTCAGTTTGTAGAGCGTCATGGATATGTCTTCGGATGAAGATCATAGCAGTGGCTTTTTCAGCCTCGCCAACAGGTTTATCTGTTGCTTCTTCAATAGCAGGACGCAAGTTCTTTGCAGTGAGGTGGAGCTTCACATCTTGAACCCACTTGAGGTAGTTCCTTCCAGAAACCTCCAAAGCGGTGAAGTCGAGTTTGTTCAAGTTCGACATGTCCTATCACAAAATAGGTGGACAAGATGTGGTTAGTGTAATGGAGAAAAATCAATCCATTCACATAGGAGTAGAACATACAGGTTCTAATAGACATGTATTGGTTTAATTTTGCATGAAAAACTTCGGGTTTTCATGGGTGATATGTTTAAGTGAAAACTTCGGGTTTTCTAACAAGGCATGTGTATAAGAAACTTCGGGTTTCAAAGTAATTATGAACTTCAGGTTCATATATTCCTGCAGGCAAACACAAATATATATGCAAACAAATATGCAAAGAATATATGCAGAAATATTGTATAATGATGAGTGAATTAATTTATTTTTGGTCTTCGGGGCCAAATTAAAGTGTGGGTGAAAATATAAAAACTCATATTATTTAAAAAAAATTAAATAATAAAATCTCGGGGCCTAAAAATATAGGCCGAGGACCCCCGGGTGTAGGCTGCAGGCCCACGGGGTGAGAAGGGAATGGGCTGCTGTGTGCAGCCCTAAAAAATTTTTTTTTTCTTTCACGCGGGCCGCATTAGGCTGGCCCAAGAACAAAAAAAAATCTTTTTTTCGCACGGGCCGAGAGGCTGAAGCCCACTAGGGCTCGGGTTGCAGGACCAAAACATCCCAGCCGTAGCTGGGTGTGTCCATCGGGGAAGAAGGCCGGTCTTTGATTGACGGCGCCAGTGCAGGGGACAGTCCATGGTCTGTGCAAACCATGGGTCGTCGGAGAACCAAGTACTCATCGACGGAGATGAAATCTCGACGTCGGGGCAAAGAGAACCAAAAAATTCAACTGAATTCAAATGAAAAAAAACCCATGGAATTCTTCTGGAATTGCACGGAATCGTTATTGAAAACGATGGGTTGTGTCCAATTTGCATGACTGCCGGTCGTGTTGCGTCGGAAGACTCGACGGCAAGGACCTGGGCTTCAGGCCGTAGGTCGGGACAAGGTGCTTCAAACGCACCGTGTGGTTCCATGCTTGCGGGTGTGGGTTCTCGGTTTGGGTTGGGCCATCGCAGGCTGCGGGCCTGGTGGCTTGCGGCCTTGCATGGTGCACAGGCACGGGTTCGACTAGAACCCTAATTTCCCCAATCGCAAAAATTTTCAATTCAAATATAATTATATGCATGTAAAATTCAATGAATCACATATTTACGTTGATGCATATGCAAATAATAGTTTCAATGCATGTGCATATGTAGGATTCAATTCATGACAAATATCAAATTCACATAATTGTAGCAATTTTGATGATGAAGCATACACAATTTATAGAATCTAAAATACGTAAAACGTAAAGTTGGGTCATGCATCATGGTGAATGTTCATGCTATCAGGGCTTGCAAAATATCGAGTTAAAAGCCGTTGTTTGGAAAGAACCTGATTGCGTGATGATATGGATGAACTGGTTTGATGCAGAAAAAAAAATCTCTAACGTCAGATTCCTAAGCGCAGCGGTAGGAGCGTGCTGATAACGTGTTGTGGTCTATTTTATCTGACAGAGAGACTAGGGCCGGCGGCAGAGAGAGAGAGGAGAGAGATGCGTGTTTGTAGAATTGTAGGGGAATGTGTGTGTTGTTATCCCTCCTACATTGTGCCTTTATTTATAGTAGTAAAGGGAGAGAAGATATTCCTTCTCCTCCAAGTAATACAAGTTGTAATAGGAAAGGATAACTAGAATCAAATCTTATCTAGGATTTACACAATCATACTTAAACTAGGAATGTTTACAACATATTTATCAATTTAAGGCTTATATTTTGGCTATTAATGATAAAAACTCATTTCTACACCTAACTTACTCTCTATACTCTATTATTTTAATTAACTATCAATATCTTTTTAAATCCAAATTTACTACCTAAATTATCCTCACAAACCTAATTCAATATGTAAATTTATCTTTACATCCATTTAGAAAATAAAAAATCAAAATCAAATGTTCTCCAACTCATTCAAGGCATAAAGAGAGCAATATGTGATTGGCTAATTCATCGCTTGCATATTGTAGTCTCTCCATTACCGAACAGTTACGCAGGCATTACAAAAGCGAAAACAAATCAAATAATAATCAAGGAATAAAAAGAAAATCGTAGGACACAATGAAATCCTTCCTACAAGAATGAAGAACCATGAAATTGAATATAAAATGCTAAATGGACACAAGAAGATTATAGCATGAAGTAGTATAGTACAAGCTGTGGCAAACAGAACCCCACGACCATTGTTCTATATCCCAGCACTGATAGTATTCACGATTGACCCTCCGCCTAATTTCATACGATACATGCCAATAGCCCTCTTTGAGCTCAGCTCCTTCTGCGCGCTCTAGTCAAGTCTTGGCTTTGGGCATCGCTGCCCAAATTCGTTTCAGACTTGGGTTCCTTATTGGGCCAGAAGCCCAACTCGTTTTTTCAAGCTTTTCTCGGGCTAATTTTTTCCACCTTAGCCCAGCATGCATACTTCGAGTCAACAATGGCAAAACTCCACTTAACGAGGTATATGGGGTGAAGCTCCACTTAACTATTAAGAAGTAAGAAAAACAGCGAAGCCAACAGTAGCGAGGAAGAAGTTGAATAAGCCATCACTCTAATCTCTATTCAAAGACATACGCATGAAGCATTACAAACATAGTACCTTGCTAAAGAGGATCCTATGGCTCTTTGACTTGCTCTTACGGATCATTCCAATCATGAAACAATGATCTACTTGCTTGAAGCAAGACATAATTGGATACAAAAGAATGTAATTTAATTATTAAGCTATTTTTTATGTACATAAAATTTAAGCTAGTTAACCATGGTAATCACGTGGCGCACTCCAAGAAAGGTGGTAATGCTCACAACCTAATAGTTGAGGTGATGAGCAAATCCATATCCTATATTAAGTGTGATTGTGTAAACTAGTTGGAGGTCAAGTAAAGCCACTATGAATTAGCGTAAATAGAGGCGTAAGATTTAAGAGAAACACACGTCACAAACCCTTGATCCCCTCTTCTCTCTCTTTGCCATTCCCTCTCACTCACTCTAATTTCTTCATAATTGGGTCTAACATTTTTTTTTTTTTAAATTTTACTATTATTGAGGAGAGGGAGGAGTTTGACATCTTATTTATTTATTATTATTATAAGCAATGTTCTACACTGATTTACAAAAAGGAGAAAAAAATAGTTTGTACCTCGAGACGCAGTGAGTTAAAGAGAAAGACTCTAACCACCATGACAATTCACTATTTGCAATTTTTTTTGACCTTTTTCTATGCTAAAATGTTTTTTTGATGAAATGTTATAATATGGATTTTATCTATTTTTAATTGGCTTAAATAATAGTAACATAAATATAATATAACTAAGAGCGAAATGTGTCAAAAATGTTACAGATCGATGACGATGCTAGTAGAAGCTCTGGTTCAGGCCGTAACAGCACAAGTAGTCCGTGCTATAGCGCAGGAAGCACAGTTCGCTTTTAAATTAAAAAATGAGCTTGAGCAGATGGAGGAAGGGCTTGGAACAATGAAAGGCTTAGTTGTCGACGCAGATAAGAAACTGAAACAAGTGGGTGATCAGGAAATGGTCAAGAAATATTTGACGGATAAGATGGGCGGGAGGTTGACGCATTTGGTCAAGTATTTGATTCCAACAGCTGCTGCCGCCGGTCGTGACAATGCATCAGATCACATGAGCCAACAAATCAACAGCGACAGCAGGCAATTTATTGGTTCACAAGATTTCCGCTTACTTAAGACATATGGATTGGATGGGGACATAAAAAAGTTGAAAGGGTGGATACTTGATGGCAAGTAAAATTGGAAGAAGAAATATATAAGGTTATTTTGGGAATAATGGTGGGTGAAAAAGGAGTTTATGGGTTTTGCCTTTTAATGGTGGGTGTAAATATAAGGTGGGTGAGGAAATAAGACATTGAGGTGGGCATAACACCATTCTAGAAAATAATCACGTTAATCAATATTTAAGTAGTTATTCAACCATCAAGAGATTTTTCAGTATGCCGCAAACACTGCCCATCGGATCAAGTGTAATAATACATTTTGTTGGAAACTTAAAAAAAAAAAACTCTTAACAAATTTTATCATGATATTTGGTGTACTAATCCATATTTCCAGCATATTAAAAAATTTCTCTCAATCACCAACAATCACGTCATATAGTTTCCAAAATTTAGTTTAAATAGATGATATATTTAGCATTACCATAAATTATTCATGTACCTAAAGTCGAAATTTCGATTCTCCTTCACTATTATCGCTTGAGTCCAAAAAATAAATTATTTTGAAAACCCTAAGCAGATAGTATGAGCTAGGATTCAGGCACAATGCAGCTCTCACCCTAGTAACACAAATCTCAAGTTGTGACACGCATTAATATTATCGAAAATATATTTATGTTTGCTTTGTTGACAATAATAATATTTTGTGAACGATGTATCACATGATAGGGGTAATATGAGAAAACTACAACGAAAAGAGGACTCACATTCTAGGCCAATCTTTTGTGTATGTTGTAATGCTCAACGGCGAGAGCCAAAATAAAGCTTCCAAGAACCAAGGGCAATAACATCGTTCATGTAAGAGTGGGCAACATCATCTGCAGAGGCAATTCCGAAGAGCGGGAAGAGGAAGAGAGGGGACATTGAGGTAACTGGCATCGGCACGGCCTCCGTGAGCCACCTAGCAAAGACCCAGGCAAGCACTGCCAACATATTCCGGCTAGCGACGGTGCCATCTAAGTTGACACAGAGGCTAATAACGGTGCTCAAAAGAGGCCCTAGGAGGATGGACAAGTTCTTGGATGTTAGAATGGATTTCAGTGAAGAAGGGAATTTGATTTGTGAGCTTTGGGTCGGATTTGGATCATCAAGTGGGAGAAGTTTGAAAATATAAACTTTGACATCAACCAATCCCAAATCAACTTTGGTCATAAAAAAAAAACATGAACAATCCCAAATTCCCAAGTTTTCACAGAATAGAATATAGAAACAAGGGAGAACCGGATCAAAATTTCAATCAGATCGTATTGAATTCGATCGATTGCTTGAATAGATGGAAAATAGATACCTTTTTTCTCGCGTTTGCTTTCGCGAGGATCGGGAGCGCGCTGGGCATAGACAAGTAAATCCCGGGTCTGACGAACGATGTCGGCGGGGGTTCGGGGCTTGGACTTGAATAATCCCTTCATCTTGTTGCTGTTGGCGCTTTGGCTGCGATGGGGTCGTTTATCCTGATGCTGCTGCGGCGGTTGCGGTTGCGGCGGTGGCTGAGGAGAGACCCTCAGCGCCGGCAGAAGAAGGCTGGAGGAGGCTGTCCGCTGCTCCCCACCTTGGTTGGACGTACAGATTCCAATTGTTGTTTGTCTGTCGTGGACTCGTAGGTTACTTCTGGCGGTTCCTAATTGTGTTTTGCCCTTTTCCTAATTTACTCCACAACCCAATTTAGCCTTACCTCCACGCCCGATGAATCCATAAATCCTTTTTATTACTGGAAATACATAGTTAAAATTTATACAATAGTTATTTTTTTTTAATAAATATCAATATTAAAATTATTTTATTGAATGAATTGTTTTTACTTCATTGTGAAACTTAACTCAATCTTCCATAAATAATATCGTTGGTTTCAAATTAAAAAAAAAAACTAATGAAAATGGCTTGAAAACTTTGATTTTTAACGATAAGGATAAAATAAAGGGTAAAGTGAGTAGTACCAGAATTGACTTTTTAGTGTAAAAATATGATTTTTCGTTAAAATGAACAATACTGAGAGCTTTTTGTTAAAGTTCCCATAAAGAAAAACTACTTTCATTTTTTTTTTATAGTTATTTTGTTTTCAGAAGGTTGGTAGTTGCTATCTGAAATCTAGAATAAATAGATTGGTGGAGAGGCGTTCAGTTGGGAGCAAGGAAGAAAAAATCGATAATATCGACGATGCCGATATTATCATTTTTTTTGGGGTCCAATATTTTTTTAACTATCCAAATGATTTTCGTCAAAATATCGCGATATTTTCGATAATATCGATATTTTGGCACTGTGCTAATCGGAGAAGAATGCCGGAGCTTCTACAGCTCCGGCCGACTGTAAAAGACCTCCTCCATCAGAACCTTGAAGGGGAACTACGGATCGACGGCTACTCGGGATCTCCACCCATTAAGAAACATACCCAGAACTCCGAATCCCGAAACCGACGACGATGAGAGACATTGAAAGGGTGGTGGTGCGAAGCACCCGAGCCGGTGAGAACACCGAATCTCAACGCACCCTCTCGAAATACCGCAGCAAAACGCGGTTTGAAAGCAGCTGCATGCCGAATCTGAAAGATGAAGGAGGATGATCGCCGTTGGGGGTGGGTAGGAGGACATGACCGGATCGGGAAAGGAAGCAAGGGGAAAAGAAAAAACAGAGGAGAAAGCAAAAAGAAAAACAGAAGAAGAAGAGAAAGAAGAAAAGACAGAGGAACATACCGAGAAGGGAAAAACAAGAGAAAAACAGGAGGAGGAAGGGGGAAAGGGCGACCGACTCCAGCCGAAGCCAGAGTCCGCGCCGGAGAAAATGGGGTGAGAGAACGAGAGTTCGAGAGAGAGATAGAGTTGAGAACTGAGAGAGAGTGAGGGGTCCGAGAGGGACTCGGGAAAAGAGAAAGAGAGATAGGGTGAGGGTTAATGGTCTGCCACGTGGCAGCGTGACAGAGAGTGAGAATCAAGATGGAGGGTCCAGATTAGATTAGGATAAAGGACTCAATTGCACAATTTATATAATTTCAGGGAAAGAGTGAAAATATAAATTAATCTGGGGGTCCAGATTAGATTAGGATAAAGGACTCAATTTCAGGGAAAAAGTGAAAATATATAATTTCAGGAAAAGAGTGAAAAATTTGAACCTTAAAGAGTGAAAAATTTGCCAGCTCGCTATATAATCAACTTAAATCAGTTAAATCCATCATGCAATGCATTTACTTCCAATTTTTTGTGATAAACTAATAGATAATTGACTAAATAAACATCCTGCAAAGTTTCATTAAAAATTTCCAAGTTTTTCTTACAATTTCCGTGGTTTCCATGTAATTTTTATCGATATCGATATTATCTCGATATTTCCATCGATATTTCCGTGTTTTCGGACTACCGATATTTCCGATATTACCGATATTTTCTTCCTTGGTTGGGAGAAGCAGGGACGTTCAGTTGGGAGAAATTTTTATGCAGGTACGGAACACATAATACAAGTAGTTAAATTTTTTTCTTCAAGTATTCAATCACTTTTAATATAACATTTGGTGTATCGGGCCATATTTCTGGTACACTGAAAATTTCTTTAGCTGGGAGCATGTATAATTTATCAAGGGTGCATTTTGGTCATCACCCTCAAGTTGTGGTAATCCTCACCAACCTATTTATTATCATTGAATGAATTTAAATTTTGAAGTTTATGCCTATTCACTACAAAAATCTCTAAATTTAAACGCATGCAACTGTGATGGATAAGATAGTTAGTATCACCATCACTTTAAGGTGGTGAACAAAAATATTCTCATTTATGAATGGGCACATCAGCAATTAAGTAGGCCTCAATCATGCTCGTTAGAGTATTAACATATTTCTTAACGGATTTAATGGAAAATGACAAAAGTGAAGCTAAAATCAAATTTCAAACGCAAAGTTGCAAATTTTGAATTTGGGAAGATAAGGTGAAATCCAATAGGCATAGTAAAAACAAATATGTATCAAACACTTAATTGTTTTATCTTGCACCTAATTATGACAAATGATGATGATGTATTGATACTATCGTCATAATAAGATATTTCTTTTCCTTTATGTAATCAATAAACAATTTAGAATTCATATATAAAACAGAGTTAGCGTATGAAATAATGATAGTAAATCTTCGGTGTTAGGACGCTTATCCTTACCTAGCCAAATTAGTAAGGTTTTCTAGCTACCAATATCCTGTATCTACGCTATGATGCTTAGGAATGTGAAGTTGGGTGTGAGAGCGACGATGGACGATGTACTTTGGTGGGATATGGTTGTGTCGAACTCCAAGCCAACAATACGTTTAATTTGGAAGTTGACTTGCTGAGGTTGATGAAGAACATAGCATGGCTTACTTTAAAGTGTTATGCAGCTTGGCAACGGCATTCACATGTCATTCCTTCTCTTCCACTCCAAGCTCCAACTCAACTCGTTGATGCTTTGCGACCTAAATCCCGAACCCATATCTTCAGGTACGCATGCACATGCATCACGTTCCGGTTCAGCCGTAATATATATCTTTTATGTTTCATCTTAGCCACATAATAACTTAATTCAAATTCGTCATTATATAACAACTCCAGTCCTTAAGTTTTTAATATGGGCCAAGTACTCATTAGGTTATCGCTATATATATATATATATATATATATATATATTAATATTTCTACATTAATCTTCCTCAATCTTGAAGAATTATCATAGTTAATATACTAAAATCTTTCATTAGGCGCGCACACACACATGTCTATTTATATATATTGTGAAAGATGATAAACTTCAAGCAATCCAGAGTTCACTAGTGCATAAAACAACGCATTAAAATATGAAATGATCATTGTCCTGAAAATGAGTTAAATTCTGCCAATTGATGCAAAAAAAGAGCAATTGCTTGAAATGCTCCCAAGGCTTCTCCGACACAAAGGCGTGATAGTAACCGACGGCAGAGGTGGCGGCAGGGTCAGCCACCATTCCTGGCAGAAATGACAAGCAGATATTTGATGCCGTCCGCCACTACGAACTCGCCCCCTTCAACGTTCACAAACACCAACTTGTTCTGGCCTTTGGTTTCCAATTGCTTGTTATAGTCCGTCACTTCAAAGTTCCCGATCTCTTTCCAATGGGGTCGCTGATGTGTACGGCTCCCGATGGCTGACCAGAAGGCTCCATCGGTCCGAGGCAGTGACCACTAAAGGAAGGAGGACGAGGGAGGAGGTATTGAGGGCGCATCATGACCGTCGTTTTCTTTATTTTGGTGATGATTTTTTACTGCACACTCCACAAATGACAAGTGATGACCTTCACTGGAGCATGGCTGGATTATACATGTGACGCAGATGCATGTATGATGAAGGCTCTTTATATTTTCAGTACAAATTAAATAGATTTTAATTATATTTGTTGAACTCACCATATGCTTTGAACCTACACTCCTTCGCATTAAGTTCCTCTTAATTTTGTGATGTGATTTCTTCCAATATTTGCTTGCTACATTATTTGGTTTGTGATTCTCACATACGACTCCTAGACGAGAATGTGAACTTTATCAAAGTTCAGTAATATCCTTAAAGAACGTTTCACAATATTCTTCATGACAAGGTACTCATAACTTGTTGAAATCCAATCACTCATTTAAAGGTCAAATATGTTTTAGTGATATTTAACGATTATCTCAGACTGTTAATAAATGATTGTACTTACCGTGTGTAAGTATTGTAGCTATTCTCCACTTTTAGGTTGCTAATGTCATTTTGTGCTATAATAAGCATGCATGTTATGATGGCTAACGATTTTGTTTTAAGTCTCTTAAGTAAATCGTCTAATGTAATTGAGCATACAAAGTTTTGGGAAGAAACTTGTAACTCAATGAAATCAAAAGTTTACTTATTTTTTCTACTCTTTAATTGTTAAAGTTATTTGTGAGTATTTTCAATTGCAACGGATAAGAACAAGTATTGTTTTATTCACGTTTTGTATGTCTTTGAGGGGAGTTGGGAGAGGTGATAGTCTAGCTAGCTCCACCAACCAACGCAATGTTTTTTAAGAGTTGTCTTGTGGACCTCAAAAGAGTTGAGAAATGTGACTGGCTAGACTCTGACTCTTATGTGATGGTAGTTATACTTTTAATGGATGGTGAATTAAGCCTTATATTGATGCTTATGATGGTTAACTATGATTTTATTCAAGTTTTTCACTTGTTTAAGAATGAGTTTGTTTTTTATTTTTTGGTAACGTTATTAGGGAGCTTAATTTTTTTTTTTAATAAATCATTTCTAAATCTAGGTAAGTAGATCAATTCCAAAAATTGTTTTCCCTATTTTATTTGTTAAAAATAGCGATTTCCTACATTTGGTTTGTGATTCTCACATACATTCAGTAAGCAATTTGGCCCTACTCGATTAAAAATAATAACTGAACCCATTAGAGATCAAGAAAATTAAGAATTAAACATCAATTATTCATTCAATTTCTTTATTATAATGGAAGGTGATGATAGCTTCAAGCAATCCAGAGTACAGTAGAGCATATTAAAGACAACGATTAAAATACGAAATTATCATAATCTCCATATAATTAGTTTGTTTTTTACAATTGATGAAATGAGATCAATTGCCTGAAATGCTCCCAAGCCTTCTCCCACACAATACCCTCATAATCGTCAACAGCGGGGTCAACCACCGACTCGTTTTTTGCGGAAATGACAAGCCGGTAGTTGATGCCCGCCACCACCTGACTGTCGCCCCGGACGACGCTCTCAAACACCAACTTGTTCTGGCCTTGGGCTTGCTTGGTGTACTCCGACACCGCGAACTCTGCGATCTCTTTCACATGGGGGTCGCTCATGTTCTTTATGGGCTGCCAACCGCCGGTTATAAGACCCCGTCGGTCCGCGGCAGCGGCCACCGGAGGAAGGAGGACGAGGGCGAGGATGAGGAGGCAGTGAGGGCGCATCGTGACCGTTGATTTCTTCAATTTGTTGAAGTTTCTTTAACCGGCTCCACTCCACAAATGACAAGCGATGACTGATGACCTGCATTGGGGGATGGCAAGATATATAGGTGGCGGTTGGACGTGCATAAGGGGCAGGAAAGTAAAGGGATTGGCGTACATGGAAGGTTAGAATTTTTTTTTTTTTTTTTGAAGTACATCAATATTTTTACACTAAGGACGGAGTTCGGCTAAACTACATAATGAAAAGTCTAATTTAATATCAAATTCAGCTTTTATGAGATTCGTACATGGAAGGTTAGATATTCACTTGTGGATTCTGGATATTACTGACCATTATTGGGTCATTCGGGGATTTCCTTCGCAATTGCTTTCTTGATATATTTAGGGTATGGTGTTATCCTTAAGTAAACTACAGTTATCCTTATTCATAAAATGAGAAGGCAAAAATTGGTGAAGTTTTCAGTATCCTGCAATGCCCTCACTTTTATAGAAAAGTATAGTGAACAACTACCCCAAACAAAATATGGACAAAATAGTTATTTTACATAAATCTTCAAACCCAGGCGACCAATAAAAAAGAAACTTAGATAAACTCAAGGGACAGACATGGTCAAAGGACAAACAAGGATGGATCATCGATCATGCATGTGAAGACGGAGAGTAGTGAGATTCTCTCCCCTACAATTTTTCTCGCCTTCTCTTTTCTCCTCTAACACTTTTTATTTTATTTTTCTCTCTATAAAAAAAGTTAATATAAAATGTTGACAAAACTTAAACGTGACAATTCAAATAGGAGAAGGAGAAAAAAGAAGAGGGGAAGAATTCTACTCTTTGAAAGCATGTTGGCAATCAAGTTTTTACTTTAAAATAAATTGACAACATAGGTAATCAGACTTTTTATAAACTCATTCAAAGTCCATTCATTCCTAAATTGAAATTCACTATCTCTGCCTCAAATTATTTATTTATTTCATCTCACTTTTATATCAACAAAAACTATACATAGTTATGGTTATGGATGACCAACCTGATGGATAAAATACAAATGCTTGTTATGTGGGTATGGTCATGGTTTGGAATTTTAATTTGCATCATGTCAAATTTTTTTGGCAATTTACTAAAATGATCAAATTTTTTTTTTTGTCAAACGATAGATTTGTTAGATTAAGTGTTAAATTAGAGAGTCGAGGGGATTCGAACTCACGTCGTAGTGCAAAGACAATACTCCTATTCACAAATGCGGTAGAGGGCCACTTGTCAAAATGACCAAAAATTAAATTGTGATTGTCTAGCTGATGGGAAACTCTTATAAATCCATTATTTAAGGATTTAATATCGAAGGATAACCCATTTTCCGAATTGCGAGAATACAATTAGGGGTGGGCACTAAAAATTGAAAACTAAAATCAAAATACGAACCAAATTGAATCAGACTGGACGATTTAGTTTGTAATCTTGAAATGGTTTCGATTTGAAACAGAAACACAGTATAAGAAAACGATTGCATTTTGGTCTTGACTTAAAATTTTCAACCATGAGGCTGCAATACATTTCAATTTTTTTTTCCATCTCTCTCCTTTTCCTCACGTTACCAAACTTATGAATAAGTCAAACAACATTGTACCTCGGTCACTACATAAGTCAAATCAAGCAACCAAAACGTTAAGAGCAAGTCCACCGGAGTGGACTTTGCCCAGGACCCTGTCAAATGACTCCACCCCCTCAAGTTGACTAGTACCCAGCTCGAGCTGGGCAATGGACCAGCCCAAAAGAGACTGAGCAAGAAGCCGGGCTGTTGGCCTGGCGCGTGCTTCACGGCGGCGTGGGGCGAGTGCCCGACAAGGTTTCAGAGGGCTGTCAGCCCACTTGTGCTCCGGGATGACGCGGCATGATCATAGCCGTTGGATTTCCAACGGTAAAAAAATTTTAAATTTGACTTTTAAAATGGACCGTTCGATCATAGATCAACGGTCCACGTTAATTAACTAAATTAAAATTTATTAAAAAATACAGAAAAATTATTAAAAATACAGAAAATTAAATTTTTTGTTTCTATAAATACCTAACCCTCATCTTCCACCTTACACCACATTTCAATATTTTCTACACTTTTTACCAAAGCTTTCATATACTTTTTGTGTGAAAAAAAATACCAAAAAGCTTGTGGTTGAAGAATAAAGAGTATTTGATGAGTTTATGTAATTTCATTTTAGTGTGTTTTTTTTTTTTATAGTTTATTTGATGAGTTTATGTAATTTTATTTTAGTGTGTTTTTTTTTTAAGTTTATTTGATGAGTATGTAATTTTATTTTAGTGTGTAATTTTTTTTTAAGTTTATTTGAAATTTTATCCGAAATTGGTTAAAAATCTTATCCGAAATAAACTTAAAAAAAAAAACACACCAAATAAATGCGCTGGGTGCTAGTGCATTTTTTTAGGGGTGGAGATGCCTTGGCCTATTACTGTTCATTGGAGTTTGTTACTGTTCATTTGAGTGGATAAATGCGCTGGGTGATGGCGCAAAGTCCTTAGGGTGGAATTGCTCTAAAAAAACAAAGGACAAGGATTGTCTGCCCTCCCTTTTTCCATACACTTTCATGCATTCTTGTTTTGTGTGGTCACAGTTAAGTCACGTTAACATTTTATATTATTTTTTAATAAAGATAATAAGACGAAAATAAATAGTAATATAAAATGTTAACGTGGCTTAACCGTGACCATAAACAAGAGGGGATGGAAAGATATGGAAAAAGGGAGGGCAGACAATCCTTATCCAAAAAAAAAATATTGTCAACAGTTTAGTGTGTTTTTGAGGGACTTCAAAAAAAAAAAAAAAGGTGTGTTCTGAGGGCAAAAAGGGGAAAGCGGGTGGGCAGCCTTGAATCCGAGTCAAAAGGGCCAGAAGAGTGTTTAATTTTTATTATGCACTAGTCCTCTAAAACATACAATTAATAAGAAAGAATAACGAAAAATAATATTAATCATACTGAAGAGCTGAACAATTGAAGTCACATTAACCTAGTTCATCACCTCTTCATCGGTCCATAAGATCAAAGCCGAGGGTCCAATTTCCTTTAGGAACGGATCGTCCAAAGGCTCCACTTAAAAAGGAAATTTTAGGGCTCTACCCAATAAAGTGAAACAACTGCTGTTTCAAATGTGACCCATCAAATATGGTGAAAAAGCAAAACAAAATAAGATGGATCAGAAAACTGGTCGCCTAATGTGTAACAAGTTAGATCTTTAATAGTTTCTGCAAAAGCGTGACAAGTTAGATAATTAATGATAGATTTTTTATTGTGCTGGAAATACGAAGTATTACATTACATGTTACTTTATAATTGGAGGATAGTTGAACAATAAAATTTTCTTCTATTTATATAAAAGTAATGCTAGAGAAGCCAAATTTGTAAACCAAATAATGTGGTATTTGATGATTGAATGATTATTTAAGTGTTGATTAATATGCTTATTTTCTATTTGTTACACATCATTTGGTTTGCAAATTTGGTTTAAAATTTTGGTCTTCATAGCATTATCCTTTGTATAATGGCACATAATGTACCACTTCATATTTCGAACAACAACAACAACAACAACAACAAAGCCTTTTCCCACTAAGTGGGGTCGGCTATATGAATCCTAGAACGCCATTGCGCTCGGTTTTGTGTCATGTCATCCGTTAGATCCAAGTACTCTAAGTCTTTTCTTAGAGTCTCTTCCAAAGTTTTCCTAGGTCTTCCTCTACCCCTTCGGCCCTAAACCTCTGTCCCGTAGTCACATCTTCGAACCGGAGCGTCAGTCGGCCTTCTTTGCACATGTCCAAATCACCAGAGCCGATTTTCTCTCATCTTTCCTACAATTTCGGCTACTCCTACTGTACCTCGGATATCCTCATTCCCAATCTTTTATCCTTTCTCGTGTGCCCACACATCCCACGAAGCATCCTCATCTCCGCTACACCCATTTTGTGTACGTGTTGATGCTTCACCACCCAACATTCTGTGCCATACAACATCGCTGGCCTTATTGCCGTCCTATAAAATTTTCCCTTGAGCTTCAGTGGCCTACGACGGTCACACAACACGCCGGATGCACTCTTTCCATCCAGCTCGTATTCTATGGTTGAGATCTCCATCTAATTCTCCGTTCTCTTGCAAGATAGATCCTAGGTAGCGAAAACGGTCGCTTTTTGTGATCTTCGCTAGATTGCTCCGGTCATTAGTGTGGATAAGTATATAAATGGATAGAGATAGGAAAGCAAACACAAGATGTACGTGGTTCACCCAGATTGGCTACGTCCACGGAATAGAAGAGTTCTCATTAATTGTGAAGGGTTTACACAAGTACATAGGTTCAAGCTCTCCTTTAGTGAGTACAAGTGAATGATTTAGTACAAATGACATTAGGAAATATTGTGGGAGAATGATCTCGTAATCACGAAACTTCTAAGTATCGGAGTGTGGTGTCGTCTTGACTTGCCTTATCTGTCTCATAGGTAGATGTGGGCATCTTCTCTGGAAGTACTCTTCCTCCATCCAGGGGTGGTATCTTTAACTGGTGGAGATGCACAAGGTAATGTATCAATTTCACTTGAAGCTTACTTGTAGTTTCAGGCTTGGTCAAGCGCGATACAAACCATGTAGTAGGAGTCCCCCAAGTCGCCGAGCTAGGGGGTCTGCTGAAAGAGGTGACAGACAAGGTAAGCAATCAGAGCTCCGACTGATTGTTCACCTTCTCCCCATCTTGCAGCAGCATGAAGGATAAAGAGAAGAAAAATGAGAAGAGATGATATGAGATACTTTTGCTTTTGAAGAAGTAACTTTCCACAGGCTTATTCTTGAACTGAGCTGGAGGGTTTTCTGGTTTCCTCCAGAGTATAAGGCCGACTGAAGAATTTGAGGGTCAAAACAAGTCCATCAAATCTAGAGTACGTTCCACCCTGCTGATATGGGATACTTTTGCTTTTGACAGAGTAATGGATGTATCGGCACGTGTGCTGTTACGCTTGTCTCCACATGCTTCCTTGTATCCTTCGCACTTGCCCTATCTGTTCCTCAAGCAGATGCGGAATCTTCCCTGGAAACATAAGATGTTGAAGATGAGTACTCGAGAGCAATGCCAGGTAAGTAAT